AATTTTTTTATTAAAAATATATTTATAATATTATATATTTTTGTTTAATAATATATTATATTTATTTAATATCATATTATAATTATAATATTTATGTAATATTGTACGTATAATATTTCTGTTTAAATATTAAGGTCACTTTGTTAGTTTGTTTTAGGGTTCGTTTCTTAGAGATATGTTGTATTGTACTATGTTATATTTATAATATTATATATTTTTTTTTAATAATATATTATATTTATTTAATATCATATTATAATTATAATATTTATGTAATATTGTACGTATAATATTTTTGTTTAAATATTAAGGTCACTTTCTTAGTTTGTTTTAGGGTTCGTTTCTTAGAGATATGTGGTATTGTAATATGTTGTATTTAACGTGTTTTTTTTTTAATTTTTTTATTATTTTAAAAAATATAAAATATTATTTATAATTAGTAAAATTATATAAAAAATTTTCTAACATTAATTAAGAGTAATAAACTTATATTATTATTAAAAACGTTATGTAAAAAAGATATGTACGATCGGGGAACAAAGCTTTAGTATAACTTCTGTAAAAGTATTATCAATGTATATACAGAGGTTATAAGTATAGATAATTATTAATTTATGGATTCATATAAGATAGTAATAGAAAATTAAAAAATAACATAAAGTTATCGTATTTAAGAGTTTAATAGCAAAAGTTATATTTTAATGGCTCCAAATTTTTACTTAAAAAAAGAATTATTTAAAAAGTCAAAAGTACTTTAAAAAAATTATATTTGATTTAGATTTTGTTTGATTTAATTGATATTTTTTGTTTTTACTTTTATTTTTTTAGTAGTAATATTTAGTTTTATTTGGTGAAAATAAATTAAATAAATTCCTATAATTATTTTTAATCATGAAATTTAAAGTAAACCAAAAAAGGAAGACCATTTTTTGATAAATAAAATATTGTCATGTTGGGATAGACCGGAATGTGATGCTCTTTCCACGCTGAATAAATAAAATATGAAACCATTGCCTGGGAGCATCACACGATAATGGATTGAATCTACGATTCTAAGCTGCTCATTTGAAAATAAAACTTGAATAAAAAAGAGTACAATTTAGAGGTTTGAACCGAAGAATCTTGGTCTAAAATGACATGAAAACATGACCGTGGGCGAGACGCCAAGTTGTAAACGAATCTCTTATTATAAAATACTCTT